CTTTTGTTAAAAAAATCTGTAAATCTACTGTAATTACAGTATTTACTGCTTCTTCATCGGACGCGGAAAAGCAAGGCTGTGCTACGGCCTTGTTGGCATTCCGCTAATGTAATTAACATAAAGATTGCTTGACCGAAAGTTTTGACTTTTATTAAGCTTGTTTGATACGAAACAGGTCGTAAATAATCAGAATAATCGTCTGGTATGCAAAATTATTAAAGTTTTTACATAGATTTTAAATCAACGATTCTCTCGTCCATTCCACGTATATTTTTGCCGTATTTAAAATATCTACATTATATTGCCATACTTGGGTGTTCACAGCAAAGGTTACTTCTTCATCTATACTAAACAAGATACACAAAGTCTAATGTGAATATATTAGACAAAAAACTAAAGAAATTAAATTGCGCATGGGCTGGTCATGTAACAAGATACACTATGTAAGGGACCATCCGAAACGAAGAAGGCCAAAAAGAAGGTGGGCCGATGACTTGATAGAAATAGCAGAAAAACTAGAACTAAAACTAAAAGAGATAATCTACCCTCTTTCTTTAAGTCCGAAAACTATTCCTTACGTTTTTCATAGTACCTACGAAAAATGTAACGAAAAATTTCGCCAAAGTACTAACCCAGGTTCGCAAATCAAACGCTACTTGCTACGTATACTATCTAAACTTACATCTTCGTTACATTATATAGTCTTAAATACTTATTTACTTAACAAAATACTATTATATAATAAATAATAAAATAAAAAGCTTTCAAAATTTCGAATTCGAAATTATTCGTTCAACACTTTCTTAACTTATATTTATTTGTTTTAAAGATAACATTAAGTTCTATGTATATTATTGGTCCCATCACTCGTATAGAATCATAATTAAATTCGCAATGTGAAATGCTGCAAAGAAATGACCGCTTGATATCCTGGTAGCTTTAAATTGAAAAGACAGCAAACGATGCAATTTATCAGTTTCTTGTGATCTCATTTCTTGCGGACGATTCAATCTCGATTGATACGAAGTCCGAATCGGCTCCTTTGTATAATAAACACGTCTTTGTTTAACGATTTTTATTGGAGAGTTTTAGTATTATTGACTAATCGAATACTTATTTGACAAAGCTCATTCTAATCAAGTCTATGATACTTTTGTAAAGCTCTTAGAAATTATGAAATACTCATTTGTAATATATTTTAACAAAAGTACTCTTTCGTCTTTTTTTATGTAATAGTAAGCAAACGGGCAGGAGGCTCACCTGCTGTTAAGTGATACCGCCGCCCACGGACACTCGCAACGCACTTGCGAGCCTTCTGGCAATGTGAGGGCCCACAGGCGGAGGTATAACATATAACATAACATCAGATGAGCATCCTGCCCGTTTGCTTCCTATGACATGACATAAAAAAATAACTTTACCAGATTCAACCGGACGTTATGTAAATAAATATCAGAGGTTCATTAAAACAATCAATCGAAATACAAAATCATTAGAACTAAAATTAGCGTTATCGGAGCCTACATTAGACGAACATCATTAAGTCGGCTTTACAATCAATTTCGTGTAAAAAACAATCATGGCGCACCGAAGGATACAAAAACAAAACCCCGACATGTTATTTGGAATTGATAAATAGCCCGAGTGAGACCAAGCGAGACGGGACAGAGAGGGAGCAACTAATGAGTTCGGTTTGGGATAAAACATGAGATACAGTAAGTGCTCCTTATCCGAGCTTCGTTTTTTATTGACATAGTTGTTTATGGTCCTTATATTTGTGGCTTCACGCCGCATTTGCATCGCTTCACGGATAAATTCTGGGACGGCACGTGGCTTTGACATTTTAGGTATTCTAACTTTGATTTTGTTCCCTTTTTACCGTGGGATTCAAGTGCACATCTAATTAAAGAGTTAAGTTGGTGTCGGTTGATAGCACCGGTGACCCCAGAGCTGGAGCTTTCCTCGCTCAACGGATAACTATCGCAAAACAGCGAAGAAATGCCAGCAGTTTCTCGCAATGGTACATTGTTAGAAGGACCATACTTTTTGAATCTGTTTTAATTCTATTTATTTATTTGTAATTATTATTACTATGTAGGTTAAGAATATTGTAAATACTGTATATTTGTGTGGTGGAAAGAAATACTTTCTAACTAAATAGATTTAAAACGAGATAAACGATGTCAAACGAAGAAAGATTATAATTCGTTAAATTTTAAAGGAATATTCAAATTTCTAGTGTGAATATCGCATGGTCACTTACCAGACTATTCGTACCTTAATATAAGTTAGATATAAGTTTTCTAAGTCTTGTTTAATTTCAGCGTTACACCTAATACTAATCAACCAGTATCTTCGTACGATTGGATTAAATATTTTAATAATAAATAAATACTCAGGCATTATATATTTTTTTAATACAATAGGGGACAAATGTGCAGGAGGCTCGTCTGATGTTAAGTGATACACCATAGACACTCTAATGCTAGAGGGCTCGCGAGTACATTGCCGGCCTTTTAAGATTTGGTAGGCTCTTTTATTGGAAGACCCTAAGTTGAGATTGGACAACAATTTTGAGTTTATATCTTAAATCTTTGTTCTGTCTTATATCAGATTATCAGAAATTATTATAGTAACAGAAATCTTAGGCCAAGTATTTGAAGGATTTATTACATAGCTTTGAAACCGTATACATTATTTATTAGTAAAAAATAGGCCGTCTGAACCTCAGTTATTGACCATATAACTCGATTAATTAAAGATAGACAACACTTTTTCAGCGTTTCCAATAAACTTGAACAAGTTCGCTTTGATTATTTATTTGTGGCACGTCCTAACAGACTATCAGAAGAAATTCTTAACTTCTTGTTTCTTAGTTAAGGATCACCATGAGATTTGAGCGATTTCGGATATCTATACGAAATATACCTATATATATAATTATGGCTTATACCATAATTAACTGTAAACTTCCAAGCTTTTTAGTTGTGTTTTTTTTTAATTATTATTATATACAACTAGCTGACCCGGCAAACGTTGTTTTGCAATGTATATTATTTCTAGGAAACAATTTTTTTAGTTTAATAAAAATCACTATCTACAATAATAAAAAATAGGGGTTGGAGTAAATATTTTTTTTCTAAAGACTCAGACTTCGAATATGCATAAAAAAAATCATAAGAATCGGTCGACCCGTTTCGGAGGAGTATGGGAACGAACATTGTGACACGAGAATTATATATAGTAGATAGTTAAAGATTCTATTGATTAAATAAATGTTTTATTTTTTAAATAATATGTTGGCGTAATACAGAGTGCGCTTGAGACATCCTGTTTATAAATTAAAGTTTTTAATTTATTAGTGAGCGATTACTTCCAAAGCCCGTTCGGAGAAATTTCTATGGAAATTGTACTTCTGTAGAAAGAATACGGTTAGGTCAACGACCGCAAAGACTAGACGGTCGCGAGCCTGGGTCTTGAAATGACAAAAGCTTTTAAAAGGAACTTCGTGGGGGCCAAAGCACGGTACATATTAATAAAATATAATTTTTAACTACCTATATGTATATTAATTATCCGATGATTCGATAAGATTCCAATGAGGGATCTCGTCAGGGGGGGTCCGGTTGCCTAAGACCCAAAGCAAATAAAGCGGCGTCCATCTAAAATTAATTTTGTTTTGTTTCACCGTCTGGAGTCGAAGCATTTACATTGAATGCTCGGGGCCCGTTCTCAGGATATTTATGTTGGGACTCTCGGTGTATGACGTTCGCATTATTCATATATGGAATACATTTGCTGGTTCATCGCCTTGAAGGTTCACTTTTTCACAATTTTTATATTAAATCACTCGTGTTGCATTTGTGTCTATATATTTTCCTTTTTAAATTGTATTGTTCTTGAGGTCGTAGGTTCGTACCCCCGCTGTGTACCAATAGACTAAACTCGCCTGGTGAAAATCGTAAGGAAACTAGGATGCCTGAATGCTAATTACCTACTTGACAATTAGAAAAAAGTATCACGAAACAGATTCAGAAATCCGAGGTTAAAGCCTAGAGGTTGTAGCGCCACTTGTTTATATGTAAATAAAGATAAATAAATATAAAACAAAAATGTAGAATTATTACATACATTGATTAAAATACGTAGAGAAATCTTAGTACTATTTATAAATTAAACCTAATTCATATTAATCGTACATATTATAAAATAAAGTGCCCCCAACCCGCCTATAAAGAAGTACTTGAAACCAGCTAAACGGTGTTTGAAAATGGAATTTTATTGAAATTCACACGCGTACTAAAATAGTTGATGGTGAATCATAGCCATCAAAGTTTACGAGCCACGGGCGCCGCACCGTCGACAAACTTGATTGGATCACTGTATTTCCTATTGCAACGACAGTTTCCTGCAATGAAATGTTTATAAATGAATAAAATTTTACGACTAACCTAAAATAAGATGGACTAATTCACTTGAGTTTCCTAATTTGAAACTGCCAAAGCTCTAGTTGTATTTAGTAGCTACTCTCGATAATTTGAATTTATTTTCAAGGGAAAATACTCGATAAATTAATGTTAATAAATTTGAAGTAGGGACGGGGCTCTCACCCTATAATTTTAGTTTATCATGTACAGACCTGTCAATTGTTTTTTTTAATTCTTTGGACAGTGATAGACTGAAGACACTCAAAAAAAAATTACAGATATTTCGAAATAAATATTTGTGTATTTAATTGTTGAAATTAAATACACATTGTTGAACATTATATAGAAATAAAAAATCACGCATTTTGATCAAACTCTTATTTACTTAAGTCCCCCTCCCCTCGAGCCCTTGCTATTTTAAATTATTTGTTATTTGAAATTTATCTCTGGAGTTTCTAGTTATTGAGAGTCGATTGACGGAAAAGTAAAATGCCGTAATAACACGCCATGCCAGAGAATTTATAGACTGATGATTTTTAATGTCATATATCACAGTATATAAAAGGTACAGTCATGGCATCTGGTGACGAACCACCAACCAGCCAACTCATTAAATTTTTTTTAAAGAAAATAATTTGTTTTCAGATCCGAAGGTGGATAAAGATGCTGAAGGTGTTAGATGCTACTGCAATACAGCCCAGTGTGTCAGTACAGGCTACATGTGCCGGTCGAGGAAGGGTGGGGGTTGCTATAGTGAACTTCCACCTCGAAGACATCACTCAAAGCATGGTTGTCTTCATCATTTAGCTGAAAGGTATGTTTCAATGGCGCTACTTTCTTTATCATGTTTATTTTATATGCAGTAGATTATCAGCCTGATACACACAAATATATGGATGTTAGCCAGGATTCAGCCAGTTCATTTCCCGACGAATAAAATTGGTTCGTTGGTAGGTTTTAAATGTGGTCCTTCAGTAAAAAGTGTGACATTGTTAATAATACTACTAATAACATTTTTTTTGGTACAATCTAAACTTCGCGTATTCTGCGACACAATGGCGTGCAAATTTAAAGGTTAAAAAAAAACATTTATTCGCAGCTTCTGGAATTTGATTAAATGATGCGCTTAGATGTTATCATTACTAATTACAGTGAGTGGCAATTAGAACGAATTTTAGCGACACAAAATGAGCTTTCAAACCCCAAACGACTTGTAAGCTTGTAGATTTTAATCAGTAATCACCTGGATTTGTTCGTTTTATTGTTTTCAAAGTAGACACTAAATCTACACTTATCAAACCTTTGTACGCCTATGTTCCTTGCTTATATGCAATTTGTTATTATTATATAATCGAAGTGTGTGAATGTGTGTGTAGTCATATTTTTTTATTTGCATGCATATTAGAACTTATAAATAATTAAATAAAAGTTAAGAAATTTCGAAACAGGTTTAAATTAATTAACATGAATAATTAATTAAGTAACTTAGCCGTTATTACTGTTACTTTAAAGTGTAATTAAGAATGTTTAAACCAGAGTAGCTGAAATTTTATTTCCGCCACCTTGACGTATTTATTTTATTGGTTTACCGCTGATAGATAAATTGCTTCGGAAAAATGTAAATAGAGCCATGTTTTTCTTAAACCAAGGTTGAAATACCAACGCACCACCCACAATAAATGCAGCAGGTGTATTTGGGGCTCGTCTCATTCCAAGTACTCTGATACTCTGAGAACTGGGTGAACTATACCCACTAAAATCACCACGGGTAGTACAACACGACCCCATCAAAGAGCCTCGGGGTTGCTTTCGTATTCCAGTAGGACCTCAGTGGTATGGCAATAGTCCCATACGTATATACGACATATCTATGCCAAATTTAAATTAGTTATAGGTAGTCTAAAAATAATTACAAAATTATAAAAATAAAAGTTTGGTCCCTGTGACAGTGTACCTTTAACGCTGGCAGCATTTCCTCGCTGTATTGCGATACTTATTCATTGAGCGAAGAAAGCACCAGCTCTGGGCTCACCGGTACTATCTACCACGCGCCAACTTAAATCCTTAATTAGCTATTGAACCCCACGGCCCAAGAGTCTCTACTCCAAAGGCTGCTGCGGCCGTCCCAGCTTTTTTTTGAAAAGGTATGTAGGTTAAGAAAATTGTAAATACTGTATATTTGATTGTTATGATTACTAATAATAACATAGGATGTTAGTAAAACTATATTATGAAATGAAACGCAGAAATAACTTCCTAACATTAAGCTTCTCCATGTACATTGTACAAGGATCATGCTTCATGCGCTCTAAAAAGCTCAATAAATTCATATATATAGCGCATTTAAAACATTTTATAATTCTCACAGTAAATGTACATACAGTAAAACCAGTCTCGTGTTTTGTTGACTTTCATCAGAAAATTAATTATTTCTTTGTTGCATACTTGCTTCGTCATCCATCAATATCGCTTATCATCCTTCAGATGTTCATACTAAATATCCCATACTATCTTCAATCAATTTGTCTTCGGTCGTTTCGATTGCTTTATAGAGGTTTCAACATCATAGTTATGAAACGATTAATTAATATTTCTTATTTAGTTTTTAGATAAGGTCGTTGAGGTCGTTTTGTGTGTGTATAGGTACACAGAAGTAATAAAACATAAATTAAATGTTACAAAATTAAGCTGTTCCTTTGGGATTGCGCTCACCAAATTGCAATGATGGGGTAACTATACAGTGCCCCTATTGTACAACCTTATGAAAATCAGTTATTCCAAGAAAAGTTGAAAAAGAAAATACTAAGGCGTAATTTTTTTATATAACAGGGGCAAACTGTTGCCTGAGGTTAAGTGATAACGCGTTCAAAGTCAGTATAGTGTTCATTGTAAAGGTCAAAGTAAAATAATATATATACACTAGCGGATCCGACAGACGTTGTCCTGCTTGATATTTCAAGCGATTAGGATATAAAAGTATGAAAGTACCGACTACAGCGCCATCTATCGAGCTGATTAGCCCTTGAACACACACAAAAAATTTCATCAAAATCGGTCCAGTCGTTTGAGAGAAGTTCAGTGACATACACACTCACAGAAGAATTATATATATTAAGATATATTTATTTAGTGAAGTTATGTTACAAGCTATCTTATTTAAAATTTGTGAACAATTTTTGTAAACTAAATGTTACATAAAAAATACTAATAATAAAGTTTTTGCAAAAAAATACCAGCAAATCAACGGATTACGTATGAGATAAGCTCTTAATGCTTTCTTTAAAACTGATCAGCCCACTACGTTTATCCATCTCCGGATAAGTACTATTTAATCCGTTATAATCGCGAAGGATTCCAATGAGTCATTTAAAATAGGTATATATAGAAACAAAAACAAACAACAAACTCCTATTTAGCGATCTTAAATTGGTCCCAACTATTTTACAATTTCTTTCCATACCTGAGCTGGCCCATTCTTCATTCGTGTTCGCTCATGACCAACTTTTTGCTTGATTATCTTATTCGGATCGGGCCCAAAGAACTGGTTCCATTTGGTTTTATTTGTTTTAAATTTTTGCTCGTTTTTGGCAATCGTCCGCCGTTCATTATCTACATTAACGATCGGTCCGCTTCGTTAAGAATTTGATTACTAAAATTGTTTGTTTTAAATTTATCATGTTTTTTATTTATAATGCATTTAATATGTAAATATATAAGAGACGTGGTAGATTTGCGTAGCATGGTTTGAGAATATCGTTAGTTTAGATTCATAACTTCTTACTTATATATTTTTTTTATATAGGTACGTTATATATATATTTTTTGTAAAATGCATACAAATAAATGTAAATATTTTAGAAACGATACGTTACAACATATACTGTAGATATAGCATTATGTGTGATGTGGTAAACTTCAATAAATAAAATAAAATATATTAGTTGTGATATATATATATTTTAGTTATTGAAGTTTACCCTATTTATTAGCCCTAAAATTGGCTGGGGTTTTTTGTTAATTATTATAACTTTTTAGATTATAGTTTAGTTTAGTTTTAGTTAGTGTTACATTTTATTGTTCCATACGAGGGTTGCCTGGAAGAAATCGCTTGTTATAAGGCCGCCCGTTGCCTAATAACTTATGTATCCTGTTTTTTGTATGTATGTTTAAGTTAACTTGTGTAAATAAATAAATATTCTGATCTAAAACACGCAAAATACATGTTTCATAGTTATTTGGCCTCGGCTAAGAGTAGAGTACCGATAATTAAATTCTTGATTCAAATAGTTAATTTTTTTTTATTGTTGTTTGTATTATCACTATTTTTCGTCGGTACTTGATTTCGCTGGTATGGTCTGCATGTTGTAGGAACGGAACCGCTTTCAATATTTTTGTATGCACGTCAATTTGTTTGCTTGTATCATGTATGGCCTTTGTGGTCCAAATAAAAAAAATTGTACTAATATATTTTTACGTTATATAAATTTAAGAACTACGTTTGATTTCATTTTGTTATTACTCCTATCAAAGAATACCATAAACATTTTTATCCAGCTTTAAATAGCTATTATTCCGTCATTTCTAATCAAATCACTTTAATACTCTTACATATCTAAACATCTATATTATTTAAGAAAGAATTCTATTAAACTGTCTCTTTTCATCACAGTGAATACACAATTTGAGAGAAAGAAACGAATGTCTTTAAAATAGACGCTCGGAATTGTTTTAATGCGCAGTTACTTCTATTTATTAAAATAAACGACTGCATTTTCGTTCATTAAACTTGTAATGCAATTTATTGACGCGGTAACTAGTAAAATGGCCGATTGCATCTTTGTCCTCGTTTCTGAGATAAGGGAGACGGAGAGTCAAAGGCCGGTAGATAGCTCGGCCGCTGAACTGAATAATCTAAACATGTTTGCATATTAGTACATAGAAATATCATTTTAGTACTACTAATAATTCTAAGTATACTAAACGCGTAAACGCATTACCACTTTGGTTTTAAAATCAAGCATTGTAAAAATAGTTGGAGATTAAAAAGAGTTGCGGAGAGTTTCTTGCCAGTTCTCCTTCGTTCTCCGCCAGTTAAGAGATTTCATAAATATTTTTTGCAACCAAAAAAGTTACCTAAATATATTTTGGCTTGTATTAATAATAATAAATCCCGTTTATTTCCAATCTTATAACTCAGTTTTTGATTTATTATATACATTTTTTTCGTGTCACTCGATATGCTAACTTTCTTCAGTACCATTAATCGGAACTTCTTCGCGTGTAAAGGCCTGCTCAAGCTTTTCCAAGCATATCTATCCATGGCTTTCTTTCTCCATTCGCTTCCTGCGCTTTTATATCTTCTATCCACCTTGTAGGGCGCTATCTTCTCCATCTCGATAGTTGTATTTAAAGTACATTAGTTTTAGTTCTTTGGCTTAGAGTAATAAAACCAATTCTCAAAATGTGGAGCACAGATATTATTTGTTGATCATAACTTAGGATTAAACTTGTTTATTTACATAAGAATCGGGGATTATGTTAATTCGATGGAGACGTTTTAAAGTAAGACCAGAAGTTTGTGAGGTTATTGTTATTATAATTCTTTACGGTATAAAGACGGTTGGTAATTTTTGCATTGTATTTTATGTGCCTACTTCGTTATTCATATTAAAATCAACTACAATTTATTTATCACAATTTTTCTCGTGTGTCAGTAGACAGTTATATTGAAACATATGTATATATTATTGATTTATTATTTTAAAAATATCCCTTAAGACTCACTGCTTGTTGGAAGTTAAGCTTGTGGTGTTT